TGAAGGTGAGCAGATCATGGAGCCTGTGAATAAACCCACTAATATAACACACACATCACAAATGACCTCTTAAAATGAAAATAGCCGCTGGTCCTCTCGAATGGATACATGATGAGCTGACAACTCTGTTGCCCAGATCGTCTTTAGATTTAGATTTTAGCTGATATATGTTACTGTTGTATGTTTCAGGATGTCAAGTGTAGTGGTAACTGGATGTGGGCAGCCAAGCTGCCCGGTGAGGGGGCGTCACTGTGGGAGGCCTGCAAAGCCATGTGTGAGGTCATGGGCCTGCTGGGGGTGGCCATCGATGGGGGCAAGGACTCTCTGAGTATGGCTGCCAGAGTGGGGAAAAAGACGGTCAAAGCTCCAGGTGCTCTCACTGTTTGTGTCTGTGTAGATTCATCTGTGCACTCTAAAACAAAAGTTGAACATTTTACATTTGCCTTTTTGAGTTATTCCAACTTCTAATGAAATCATGTGCAACCAACAAACTATATTGAGTTAAGGAAATTTCTCTTTCCTCTACAATCGATGGCATTTTAAAAGACCAATTACCTAGCAATTAGCTGCACAAACACAGTTTTTAAAGACTTGAAATCCTGGACTCGCAGTGGACAAAAAAAATGTAATTATCAACTCAATTTAATTCATTTACCACAACTTGAATTTTGTTTAAAATCAAATGCGGACATTTCTGTCTAAATGACACACAATATTAAGTTGGTGTAATTATCAACATCATTTGTCAACGCAGTTCAACAAAACTGTGCTCGCAGCTTGAAAGATCTTTCTATATCAGGAAATTAGAATTTGTAATGTTTTTGAGTGGTGGTATTAAGTCCCATGAATTACTTTTTAGAGTATTGGTGTTTTACTTAAAAGTCGCTTCTGGTCTGCTTCTGTTTCAGGCGCTCTGGTTATTTCAGCATATGCTGTTTGTCCTGACATCACTGCCACCGTGACGCCCGATCTTGAGGATCCAGATGGCAAAGGTACAACACACTCAGACAAACAACTCACACATACACAGCTTCAAATCTTATTGCTCATGATTAATAAAACAGTGTGTCTGGCTGTCAGAGTTTCCAGCTAGTGACTGCAGAAACAGGATTCACAGTGTTTAAATATCCTCATTGTTGCGAGCTTCTCTCGCCCACATCACACACATCTTACTCTCACATAGCACACTCAGTAACAGACGGCCCGAACCGACCTTCTGTCCTCTGTCTGCAGGCGTGTTGTTGTGGGTTCCTCTCAGTCCAGGCCGTCACCGTCTGGGAGGTTCTGCCCTGGCTCAGTGCTACAGCCAGCTGGGAGACTGCTCTCCTGACCTGGACCAGCCAGGACTATTGACTGCCTGCTTCAGCACCACTCAGGAGCTCATACGCGGTCAGTTTGCGCTCGCAGGGAAGACATCTACCTGCTGCAGAGGGGGAAAAAAGTTCAGCGTTGTTTAGTGTGACTCAGTCTGTGGGCAAACTTTTGTTAGTATGCAGCCTTGGCTTTGTGCTGTGATGAGACCGCCACCTAGTGGTTTCACTGTTCAAAGTTTTGGTTAAAAAAAATCTTGTTGCGGAAGAAAATCTAGATCTTTTGTCTGTTTTCTCAGATCGTCTGTTGAGTGCAGGACACGATATCAGCGATGGAGGCCTTATTTCTTGCTTGCTAGAGATGGCGTTTGCAGGAAACCGTGGGGTTGACGTTGAGTTGTCGTCACAAGGAGCTGGAGGTCAGTGAGCTGATGTGTTATTGATTTTAGCTTCAGGATATAAACTGTTGTGATTGTAGATTCATGCTGGGTTTCTGCTGCCTTTTGTCGTCTGTGCAGTCATGGAGCTGTTGTTCAGCGAAGAGCTCGGCTTGGTTCTGGAGGTTTCACACTCGGATTTAGAAGCTGTGTGTCAGAGATACAGTGAGGCAGGAGTTCAGTGTCGTCCCATCGGCAGAACCTGCGGCTTCGGACCAGAGGCGACGGTGAGACCTCAAGCACCACCTTTGCCTCAAAGCCTTTTCTCTTCATCCATGATGACCGCTGTTTTCTGTTTCCTGCACTTGTGTTCCAGGTCAATGTCCGTGTGGATGGACAGGAGGTGCTGAGAGAGCGGCTGCCTGACCTCAGAGCTCTGTGGGAGGAAACCAGTTTCCAGCTGGAGCGCCTCCAAGCCAATGAGCTCTGTGTTAAACAGGAAGAGGAGGGTCTGTCTCAGAGGACTGAGCCGTACTTCAAACTGACCTTTGACCCCTCTGAGATGCCCAGCATCAGCCAGCTTTGTAAGACTAAAATTTATTTGTGCCATTATGAGAGATCTAGTGTATTCTACAGCTGCAGCTAATGGTTATTGTCATTATGAAGTCATCTGTCAGTTTACCGTCTAAAGTATTTTCTGGACATTTATTTGCCCCCGTCACATTTTTAAAATTTTGAACTGCAGTATAAAGTCCTGCACTTCTATGGGAATCCCGCAGCCATTTTTTTTTCTATACTTGTCTCCTATCAAGTCTGAAAAAAAAAAAAAAAAAAAACAGCTAAAAAGTCTCTGAATNTAAGATTTTCTCAATCTCTGCCTGACTGATCCGAAACATTCTAGGTGCTTCAGCAGCCTGCTTTTCCCCCAGTTGGCTTGGTACGCAGCAGTTTGAATGTCATACAAAATCTTTTTCTGGCTTCTTATACAGCATGTACTGGAACGTACCCACAGTAACCAAGACAAGAAATCCGAAGCCCAAACTCTAGAGACTGCAATGTTCATTACCGTCTCAGAGACTAAAGACTCTCACTGCACAAGATGTTCCTCGTGAACGCAAATTAAAAACTGCTGCAGAAAATGAAACTTCCCCCATTGGCTGTGCGTATTTCGTAACGTTAGACCATCAGATTTAAGGTTTTGTCCTCCTTGGAAGCAACTTTTGTCACATGAGGTGTGTCATCAACGACTCTGCATTGAATCTAAACACACAGTATGGATTCTGTTCTTCACAGCGTGCTCTAGTAGGTGGCAGCAGGCATCTGAAAATTGAACTTGACTGCATCGATTTGTTTTTCACGCCCCTAAAAAGTGCCGTAATCAAAGTGCGTTTCCCGAGACGACTTCAGTGTGAAGAGAGCTGGAGTGTTTGTGTAAAATATTAAGGGTTTATCGTCTGGGAAATGATTTTGTGCTCAATAAATCGAGTGAGCTATAACATGAATATGCATCCTGGGCTGATAATTAATGTTCCTAAGAAATGTCAGATGGTCTCAGTCCAAAAAAAAAAAAAAAAGCCATAACGTATTAGAAATGACTCAGATTCCAGTTGGTGCCAACATAGTAAAAGGAGAATTTGTAGAGACGACATCCAGGTACATAAAAAGTTTCAACCAGCAAAGGGCATCCAAGGATGAACACAAGGATGCTTGCCAAGATGTAGGATTGTTTATGACTCCCTGTAGCACCTAATAACTAAAATAGATGTTTCTACACTAAAGGTCTTTTGAGGTAGGCAGATGTTCAGGGTGTCCAGGGGTAGATAATATGGAAATAATAAGTTTAGACAGACTGTAGGCAAACATAATTTGCATTTGAATTAATTCCATTAGGTGAAAAAAAAACAAAGAATACCTTCAGATAATAAATAATTACAAGATTTTTTTTTAAGTCTAAGATATCAGAGAAATACAACACCAGTAAATTAAACACCAAAAACAAAATCCCTTGTAAGTGTTTTCTGCCTGTTGTTGCATTTTTAGGCTGAACTTCTCCACCGCCTGGTCCACGAACGCCGTGTCCATCTGCCAGAGCGCCGGCCTCGCTAACGTCACACGAGTCGAGCTTTCTCGCAGGTTTCTCATCAAGGTTTGGAAAAAAACACACAATCTGATTCTGGATGGTTGATCACTTTGTTTTCCCGATGTGATCCGTCTGCCTCCTCTTCAGCCCAAGAACGGAGAGAGCCTGGCTGAGCTCAACGGAGACATCGAGAAGCTGATCGAGTGTCTGTACGATGGCATGACGGAGTGCATCTATCGACATCCCATCACCTCCTTCACCGTGGAAACCAAACCACAGTCGGTGTTCGAGGTGGACATCCTGGGAAAAGGTCGCGTGGCCTTGGAAACAGCGAACGACGAACTCGGTGAGACTCTTCAGCTTCTCTCCGGCTCTGCTTTTACTTTTCTGACTCAGGCTCTTTTTTTTTTTTTTATTGAATTTAACGGACTGTGACCTTTTCTTCCTTCATGCTTCTTTCCAGTCTTGCAGCTAACTGTGAGTACACTGAGTGGATGTAGTGATGTCACATGATGCACGGCGTTATTACTTAGCTGCTTGAAGTCACAGGACAGCAGTGATGTCGCTCATTTTCTCACACGTGCATGTTTGTGTTTAGCGTGTGTCTAATGGGACGAAACCCCAAAACAGATCAGCTATTGAATGGAGGTCAGTTGACATTTGCAGCCACGATTTTATGTTTCCAGCTGGTAAATATTTTCTCAAAACATATGAGAAGTTGGCATCACTACTTTCTAATCTTCAGAATGTCAGAATATTTATTTCAGCTTTGCGCATTTCACATTAACGAGGCGCTTTGTGTGATGCTAGCTTTGCACTCTTCACCTCTGTTGTTGAGATTTGGAGTATTGAGGAGTTGCACCAAACAAGATGGCATTTAATGGTGCAATTTAGCGCTAGTTTCCTGCAGCTTTTCCAAACAATGCAGATTCTCACACCAATTTTAAACAATTTTTTCAGTGTGACTGAAGTCAAGCACAGAAATGAGCTGGAACTGCATTAGGGATCTCCATCCAGGGAGACTTGCCGGCTGATTAAATCACCACCATATTCGTCTCAGTTTGTTTGCATGTGTGAGGTTGAGTTTCCTTGAAGGGATGGATGCAGGGATTGTTGGAGAAGATTCTCTTTTCTCCGTGTGTTCGTTTATAAAGACGAAACAAATTCAGCGCGCTCTCAATTAATCAATTTAATCTCACACTGAATATTGCATTACAGAGCTCTGGGTCAAACTCTCCCTACCATCAGACAGAGTGAGACTAAGACCTTTTCCTCCAACCCTTTCTTATACAGTTCAGTCACATAACAGGTTACACAAAATGTCACATAAACTTGTTTCACATCTTCCTGCCTGTTTGTTTGTTTGTTCCTTCCCTGGGATGTATGCCCCATATCTTTACATCCTGTCCACATCCGCAGCTCGTCCAGGTTATCGGTTATCGGATTATCTCGCACTCATCTGTTTCCTCCCAACGATGAGAACCCTGTCCTTCAGAACAACATACATTACAAGCACACAAATCTTTATAAATCAGCATTATAATGAATAACATATAATGAATAAACCCTCAAGATTAAGTATTCTTATTCTTGAAACTTAAATGATTATATATATTTCGAGTAATATGTCATTTACACAACAAGATTCAAAGACAACAGGGCGTTCTGAAAAAACTGTGTTGCTAGTGGTGTTCCTGTGCTGCCTGCTTTGAGAGTAGTCTGATGTTTTAAAATCTCCATATGTCCATAGATAAGAGGAATCCCAGTTGTGGAGCTACAACTATTAAATCTGCAGCTTTTATAGACATTGCCGTCCCGGAGATTGTGTTTCACCTTCCCTTAATCAACTGGAAGGAAAGACCGAGACCAGCCAAACTCATCACTCACTTCTCCATTAAAATAATTAAAAATCTTATTAAAAGAAAAAAAAAAAAAAAGAAACTGTCTGTTCCAGACTCGCAGACCTTCAGTCAGACTCTTAATAGATTCATGTAAAAATCTACTTTTTGTTAGAGAGTGGCTGGGAGCTCAGGTTTTCCCACGTCCCCCAAAATATCCGTGACATTCAGAGCCATGCTGATGGAAAACACGTCCCAATGAAAGTCTCTGAACCCCAAAACCCACTGACAGGTTTAAAAGGCTCGTTATCTTCAAAAAATTACGCTATTTAGCAGCAAAAACCGTAAAAGCAGAAATGATCGTCATGTTTCCAACAGTCCGTTTAAGGACTGTTGGAAACATGACGATCATTTCTGCTCATCTGTGCCGTCTGGAAAATTAACCAAATCTGACCTTGAAGTTGTGATATTTCATCAGAATCATTTTATTCTGCGAGTCACATTTAAAAAATTCCCAAAAAGAACTGTTTGTTCTAACAAAAATTAATAAAAACATTCAACTTTTGTTTTTGCTCATCACGATGTTATACCTGCGTCTTACTGCATAAAGGAGAATTTTGTGTTCTCTCTCCTTCTCCAAAGAGGCGCACAAGTTTTTATTGTCGTGGAAAGACACAAATCCTCTCATTAAGTACCTGGAACTTGATATTTTTTTTGTCGTTTGTGCCTAATTAAGGGAGTGTAATCTAAAATAACAAAAATGCATTTCATTTTTTGGTCCTGACAGTGTTTGTTCAGCGTTATTCTTCTTTATATGAAACAGGTTTCAGTCGCCACAGTGACAGAACGTGGTGTGCGTACTTATGTTCATGCTCTGCTTATTCTCTCAGCCTCATTAATATTCACAAGCGGCTCAGACAGATGAGAATAATTTCAGCACATACTTTGCAGGCTCCGCCAGGCTCATCTGGCGAATTGAGGCGATAATTAAGAAGTGGTATGTGTGAAATTTATTGAGACTATAGCTGCTTAAAGTATTTATTGTGCACTCACTCTTTCGCTTCCCGAGTTGAGTTAAACGTGTTGTTTAATAGACGGGACACAAATTAATATAGGCAGTGTATACTTTCCATAATAATGAATCTATCATAACAGTGTTTTTAAAGTTTAAGTGCTGTGGAAATGATCTAATTAACTGTACACAATTAACAGTGTGTCATAGTTGTTGGGTTTCTTGGCGCATGCAGGTGTGTTTGTGTTGCATCAGTGTTACATTAGTTAAAAACTCGTCTGTTTAAAAGGTCATATGTGATGCGGAATCGTTGCTGCCTTGTGGTTGACTTTTTTTTTTTTCTTTCAAATAATGACGATGTCGTGTGTTGTGCTTGACGCAGGTTTGGCCTTTGACTCCTGGGATCTGGACTACTACACATCGATGTTCCAGAGGATTAAAAGGAACCCCACCAGCGTGGAGTGTTTTGACCTGGCTCAGTCCAACAGGTAGCGTTTGTCTGCAATGAGCACATTAGCAGGACTGCTTTGTGCCGTACTTTTTTAAAATTCTCTAATTCTTTCTTTTGCACCTCGGTGTCCCAGCGAGCACAGCCGTCACTGGTTCTTCCGTGGGCGGATGGTAATCGACGGGCAGGAGCAGAAGGAGACTCTTTTCAGCCTCATAATGGACACGCAGCGGCACAGCAACCAGAACAACGTCATCAAGTTCTGCGACAACAGCAGGTAGTGCTGGAAACAGCACGGCGACCACAGATGCTGCGAGTGTGTTTTTGTCCGAACTGACTCACTGTGAAATGTGTGTGTGTGTCCAGTGGCATCAAAGGCTTGGAGCTCGAGTGTGTCTATCCAAAAGATCCATCCCAAGCGAGCGCGTATGAGACACGGCGTTCACTACGACACGTCATCTTCACTGCAGAGACGCACAACTTCCCGACTGGTCAGGACACAAACAACACTGTGTATATTTAAACATAAGTGCCCATTTTTTTTCTCATGTACTGTTTGCCAGATACTAATTTTCAGGCCTGTCTGTCTGGACTTCTTAGGCGTAGCGCCGTTCAGTGGAGCCACCACGGGAACTGGAGGCCGAATCAGAGACGTCCAGAGTGCTGGACGAGGAGGCCACGTCATCGCTGGCACTGCAGGATATTGCTTCGGAAACCTTCACATCCCAGGTCAGATGCTAAAGACCTGCACTGTAGTAATAATCTGCAGCACATTTTCAAAACACAAGTTACAAAGCTCTTCACACAAGACTGCAAATTAAACCCAACAAGTAATACCTTTTGGGAAAAGCAGGTAAAACTAAAATGAGATGTGATTTAAAAAAATAAAATAAAAAAGTTTCATGACAGCATTTACAAAATGCAAAAACAGAACCTGATTTAAATCTGGCGCCATCCTCTTCAAAGTAGTCTGCTTGTACAGCTTGGAACAGTCTCATTTAGTAAGCATGACAAACGTCATCGTTTTGATATGATTTGTTTTAAAAGTAACCAGTGAGAGTAACTCATCTCTAAAACATACAGGGAAACAGGAAGCTAGAACAGCATCGCCACATAAAAAAAGAAAACTGGCAGCTGAGTTCTACGCAGTTTGGACGTCAATCCGTAGAGTTTTGGTTAAGCAAGTAAAAAGCTGTTTTGAATCAAGTAAGCGGCAAGCTCTGAAAATATTTGATTACATCTGATGATCTCATCTGATGTAGACTTCAAGGCCAGACCTGCTGTTTCCTCCACACATTTTGTCCAACTTTCTCGTCCCTTTTCGCTACCTACATGTAACTGTTTTCAACATTTCCTTCATTGTGGGAAATGATGGCTGCCATCTCCGGGCCAGCAACATGTTGCGATAAAACTTTAAAGTTTTGCATGCAAATGTTCCACCAAAACAGTTCCCCTGGCGCTATTTTGCAAAGACGCTGCTGCATTCTGAGATTATCAACAGCCATTCAACGGTGATTGGTTTAAAGAAATCCAAACAAGCCAGAGTGCTTTATTTTATTTTTTATTTTTTGTCCATAGCAGAATGGTAGTCAGGTGCAGTCAGACCATTTTGCAGCCAAGAATAATCGGGCTGTGTAAGACCAAAAGATCTGTGTTTTGCTGAAGTGAAACAATCCAGTTGCAAGTGTTTAAATGTAAGGTACATCTAAGTGACATAACAGTAAAAAGAGATGCCGTCTCTACAAACGATGTTCCCGATGGGAGAGTTTGTAAAAAGAAAATAAAACTTGGTCCCAAAAATAAACCCTGACGTCAACCATTCTAAACATGAGAAAATGCTGAGTCACAGTTGTTAATAAAGATGCAGAAGCTAAACTGTGCTGCGCAGAAATTGAGTCAACGTGTCTTTTCTCTCCAGGTTACATTCTGCCCTGGGAGTGTGAAGGAGAAGGGTGGGAGTATCCGTCCAGCTTCGCCCCTCCGCTGCAGGTCGCCATCGAGGCCAGCGACGGAGCATCGGACTACGGCAACAAGTTCGGAGAACCCGTCCTGTCAGGTAGGAAAGCCTACTATTATGTATACTGATGCATAACTAAATTACATTAAACGGTTCATTCTCAACATTCACACAGGCATGAAAATGAAATATTTAATTAATTATTGTAGGAAATTAGTTTTTAGAAGTAAACAAAACCAAAGTGTGTTATTAAAATGTTTTCCTCGGGCTGTTTAGTTGAGATAAATTAAGTGTGAAACAAGGGAAAGTAAAAACAAATCGCCGCATCTGTAAAACAGAAGCCTATTAAACACAACAATCAGTCAGCTATGAATTCTTATCATCTATTTTCTGTAAGTCTACATATTGATGAGATAAAACTTCATTAATCCCAAAGGAGATCCTTGTACCAGATATTGCTCAGAAAACAAAATTACATACCCTGAGAATAAATGCAGTGCCTCGTAGAAAAGCAATAAGATGCAAGTACAATACGTTACTGAAAATACAATTAAGTCAGCTAAGATAAGAATAGAAAAGTAAGAAATAATGCTGGCAATGATTCTGATGTAGTGCAGTAAAATCATGCATGCTAATGAAATCTTGCACCTAAAAGAATGAAATACTGCAAGTGAAAAATGAAATGTTGCTCATGAAACGGATGATTTACTAACATTTACTTGTTTTAGCACTTCTATATTAACATGTACTTCTGCCCTTGTCTAGGTTTTGCTCGTTCCTTCGGTATGCAGCTGGCTAACGGGGAGCGACGGGAGTGGATCAAGCCGATCATGTTCAGCGGTGGCCTGGGCTCTATTGAAGATGCCTATGTGAAGAAAGAAGAAGCAGAGCCTGGTAATGCTTTAACGCAGCGTGAGAAATGAGTTTCATCAATTCAGAAGCTATATTTGCACACATATCGATCAGTGAGTCACTGCGTCTTGCTGCTCCTCTGCTGTGCTTTTCGATCAGGAATGGAGGTGGTGAAGATCGGAGGACCGGTGTACAGGATCGGTGTAGGAGGAGGAGCAGCCTCTTCGGTCCAAGTATGGGCTCTACAGTAAATCAAACTGAGACTAGCAGCGGCCTCAGCAGGTGCAGATGAGTATTTAAACACATTTCGTCTCGTAGGTGCAGGGGGACAACTCCAGCGACAGGGATCTGG